AAGGGTGCCATCTCTGAATTTTGGCTACACACCAGCTGGCTTGACTAGGGCTGGCACTAGAAACTTAGCCAGTGTTCTCAGTGCAATAAACACTGAGGGAGAGCTCCCAGCCACCCATCTTTACCCGGCCAGGTATATACCTCAGTCACTCCACAATACAGCAGGGAGCCAAGCAGTGCATAGAGAAGAGCTCACAGGAATACAAGAGACAATAGAGGTGAGGTATATACCTCAGTCACTCCACAATACAGCAGGGAGCCAAGCAGTGCATAGAGAAGAGCTCACAGGATTACAAGAGACAATAGAGGTGAGGTATATACCTCAGTCACTCCACAATACAGCAGGGAGCCAAGCAGTGCATAGAGAAGAGCTCACAGGAATACAAGAGACAATAGAGGTACATACAGTAGAACCCTTCTCTGAAAAGGACACCTCTCCAATAAGGACACATTTCTTTCCCCAAAAGTTCTTGCAGGACACTTCACTAATATGGACACTTTCTTCAGTCGCATTAGTGTCGGATAAGGGGTTCTACTTTAGTACAGGGCCTTACTTACCCCTCTCCAAGATAGTCCCCAATCTTCCTCTTGTTGAGCAGTTCTCCCTTGAAGAGAAACACAGCAACCGCCTCTGCTGACTCTCCCAGTCTTCCCTGAGCTTGCAGAAACTTTACACCCTGCACATGTGTTACGGAGAGTGTGTGTGTACATGAACAAGGCATCGTGGCAAATAGCTCAGCATGACTTGTCCACGTCTGTGTGTGTGTGTGTGTGTGTGTGTTGTGCCGAATGTACCGAACCTCTTTGGGGCTGGTGTTGAATTTGTTGCGACCGTTCCTAATGACACGCTGTTTCTCTTTCTCGGCCCGGACCTCCCTGTGTGTACATACCCACAGGGAAAGAGAGAGTCAGAATGAAGCACAGCATATACAACGTACTCGTCGTTCGCCTCGTCCAAGGCACACAACTCGTTGTCAATGTCTATGATCTGTCTCCTCAATTCCTAGAGTCAAGAACAGAGGCAAGAAAAGGTGATTAAGTGAGAGATACGAAAGACAGCAGAAAGCGACGCACGCGACCCGTTTAGCATACCACGTTCACTAGCTAGCTACGCACACTACCAAGTTATAGTGTTGGAGACGATCTGACCTGAATCTCGCACCAGAGGCGCTCCTTTTCTTCTCGAATCTTCTTCAGCAGCTTCTCCTCTTCCTCGGAGCGGGCCAAGTCTCGCTCGCCGGGCACGAAGCCCGGAACAGGAGGGCTAGTCGCGTCCATGAACACACTAGGCGCCGCCTTCAAGTCGCACAAACGGCGCGTGGTTTGGAATCATGACGGTATGGAATAACGGGAAATCGGAACAGGACGTCATAAATTAGGAATGGAATATGACATTATAAACTATGTTGTTCAGAGCAATAAAAATGTTTCTGGTCAAGCAAAAATAATCTAGCTACACATCATCCTCGCTAAATTTTAGGGAGAAAGTTTTTGTTCCAGCCACTTCAATTTCAAGTTCGATTTCCCCTCCCTCTCCCCCTCTTCCTCCCTCCAACTCTGTCGCAGTTGGCTCGATGCTGAGCAGTTGAGGCTTGTTGCCAGCGGCTTGTTGTGTGGGAGAGTAAAGACTTGACGATTTCAAATCGTGGACTTCGGCTGAAATTCTTATCTCCCTCACATTCTGCTTTCCTTCGTCTCGGATTTTTGGAGTGTGAGTTTGACCCTGGTCGTTGCTAGGTGATGACTCTCTCAGTGGGCGTGGTCTGGTGATTGACTCTAATAGCGGGGGGCTTGTGGCCGAGCGTTGAACCTTGAACTCATCGTCATCGTCTTCTTCCTCTTCATCATACTCATAGTCCAGATGTCTGCTGCCGTTGGTCAGTCTCTCTCGTACAGTTGACGATGGGAATATTGACTCATTCACATCCACCTCCTGTGAACAAGAAGAGAAAGAGAGAAAAACACAGGTTGAAAAGAAATCAGACACTAAAACTTGGGAAGAAATGAGCTATTTCTCCCAGATGAAAGCTACTTTCTACCGATCATCAACCAGTAGGTGGAAGTTAGGTGATTTGAGCCTATATACCCAGTCATTTGATAGACAGACCAGGGAGGTTTATGATTCTAAAAATGCATAAAAATTGCTCGGCAATAATTGACTGCACAATTACAGGGTCTCCAGATAGTTCCCGCTGGGGGGTCAGTTTCCGCCTTGTTGTGCCACGCCCCTTTTGGCTCCACCCCTCTCCTGCCCCGCCTTCCTTTGCAGGGGGTCGGTCCGCCGCGAGTCCTCCTCCTCCTTCTTGATCCTCAAGAAGAGGCCTGATTCTGGGATTAGCTCACCTCCAGGTGTTCTCAGAGGAACGTACTTGATCCCTGGGGGAATAATAACAGATTGCGCTTGATTGACTCAAAGTTTAAGAGAACACAATTATTTCTTAAGTATAAAGTAAAGTTGTTTAGATGTGCGTATGTTAAGTGTAAGCAGCCATCACAAGAGGCCAAAGGGCTGTCATTATGTACATACTTTCTAAAGGCGAACAACCTTGCCTTTGGCGTACGGTCGAGTGGAGAAAGATGAAAGCACTTGCACACAAGGCATACTAGTACAGATACACACATTACGCTTGTATAGCTACACATTACTGCTGAACACACATGCTTTTAACTCTCTTCGGTTAAATATTCTTGCAAAACGGATCTGTTCGTGGCCTAATTAGCTATGCATTCTCATATGTATAGATGCTTACAGAGTAATAATTTCGTACGGTAAAATATATATTTCAGTCTCAAACAGAATCAAAAATGGTACCGGTGGGTATATAACATAGCTATATATACATACCTGGTAGCAGACTGATGAGAGGGATGCAGTTCTGGCCGTAGACATTGGTCTTGCGAGAAGCTCGGGCTCCTCTAGTGACCTCCACTCTGAAGTAGACAAGACAGAGCTCGGGCATTAGGATCCTCTTCTTCAGAACATGCTGGCCTTCGTCCCACTGAGGCCACGGGAGATCTGTACTCTGCGCCACAGAGAGAACATAATTTATGAGACACCCAGTGAGGAGTGAGTGAGTGAGTGAGTGAGTGAGTGAGTGAGTGAGTGAGTGAGTGAGTGAGTGTACTCTTCAACTAATATTGTTTTGTTTTCAAAGTCACCCAGCTTTACTGTGATTTACACAATACTTGAGTAATGTAAGCGCGTAAGCGTCTGGCACGGATAGCTTTCTTCACCGGGTTACTACCTCAGATAATAATATGAGCATGCCAATATTCAATACAGTGAGTCATGTATCTGCGCATGCTAGACACTGAAAGAGGGGGGCGACAGTGGGAGCCATTACGTATGTAGGTATGTGGGTAAGTTCACACCTGTGCAGTGGCAGTGGACATGGAGGAGGTGTCCGTGTCGTGGCGGATGCCATAGGTATGAATGTCTACTGCACAACTGAGACACCTTCTCTCCCAGTAGCACAACCTCTGGCCTGACAACAGCTGAGGAAGAGAGACGGAGAAACAGTAACACGTGAAATCTCGTGATAAATTTGATTTGGTGACTCTGGTCTCAAAATGTTTACCTGTCACCGAACCAAAGTTCCACAAAAATATCGTCTCACGGTTTTGTGGCAGAAAAATGTAAGTACCAAAATTTCACTAAAATGCTGAACTTACCTCAATTTCCAGATTGACGGGGGTGATGTCGGGATGGGTGTGGTCATTCTCGGATCAAACTCCACCTCCTGGTTTGGTAGTCTCATCACCTTTGGCTTTAGGACGTAGCCACACCCCTCGTTGAGTCGAAATAGTCCCTGGTTCAGGTGCATGTGGACGTCTAGAGACAAACACAAACCAACTGACGTACTGGAACTTTGCTATAGAGCATGTGAAGCGAGCCAACCTAGTCGTCTGAATTACACGTACATACATTATCTGATGTTGTCACATGAGTAAGCTGTGCATGTATGAGCTCCACACACTAGATGGGTCAAGAGAGATTCTACTATCTCATTGCTGTCACACTAGACGGTGAGCTCCACATAAAGCGGTATATAAAGGGTGTTTGCTTGCAATAATGAGTCTACACGGTGGCTAGCTATACAGTACATATGTATGTGTGTGTGTATGTACATATGTATGTATGTGTGTGTGTATGTATGTGTGTAAGTATGTGTACATATGTATGTACCAGGGTACTGGAAGTTGAGGGCCACCATCTGAACGCCACACTGCCACATGGTCATGGCGGGATAGTTGGCCGAGTCAAATCTGGTCCCTCGAGGATACGTCCTCACCAGCTGCCGCTCCGTGCAGGCCAGCATCTCTGGACAATGGAAAAAAGTTGATGACGAAATGGAAGAAGATAAGAATAAAGACGATAAAGAAGAATAAAGAAGATGAAAAGAGATGATGATGAGGAGAAAGAAGAAAGCTCGTCAAACCTCACCAATAGGATACTTTTCACAGCGGCGAATGGCAGAAGGCTCTCCAAAGGAGAACATGTTGCTGACTGGGGTCTGAGACTGCCGGTCGAAGCTCCACGGCCGGAGAGAGATGGCGCGACAGTATAGAATGAGACTCTTCATGTCCCCCACTGTTTCCTGGAGAACAGTACAAAGTCATAAATTAACAGTAGAAAAGTGCTCGAAAAAGGTTGATAGATTTCAGGATGCCGCATTATAATTTGGGACGACCCGTTGTGAAATGCATTTCTGACAGAGAAGATGAGTTCCTGGTCGTCGTCCTGGTAGACAGTAGACTCCAGCCGTCCACTCCTTTCGAGGTCGCTGACTGACTCCTTCATCTTCTGGCGATGATTCTGAGGAACACCAATCATCACAACAGTAACCCCTTCAATTATTACACTGAGCAACACTGAGAAACTAGCACATAAAAAACAAAGCCTGTGTATGCACTAAGCAAAAGCTGCTATATATCTCAGTACAAACATCCTTGTGAAAGGGCACTGGCAGCCGGGATAATTTACAGTATCAGTGGAACATAAGGTCTTTAACACACTATATTATAGCCAATAGGAGAGTAAGTAATCATCAGAGTCTCCATGATGCCCTACCCGGTGGACGGAGGACTTGGAGCGGTGGAGGGACCTCCTGGAAGGCAGCTGTTGCTTGGACTGGAGCAGAGCCACTGCAGTTGACTCCAGGCCTGATGGAGATGGAGGCTCCTTGTTGGTGGGAGACACAGCCAGCGACTGGGGAAGGGAGAGAGAGAGAGAGTGTGTGTGTGTTAGTTTCCATGTGTAATCACAAAATCAAATATAGTTGTTATACTATTCTTCTCGGAATGATAAACTACATACACACTATAATTATTATTACACCTCTTCTGGTGCTATGGTTGAGAGGGACTGTAACTGGGTGTCCTGTCTGGGCTGTGGGGAACAGAAGGACATAAAAACACTTCAAAATGGCCGACTGGAACACTTACTGCTCTTCGTGGAGCCGCCTGGAAAAGGGGGAAAATACTAAAACGACTGAGTAAAAACGAACGTGTGTACACTTACGCCAGCTCTCTGTAGCTTGAAAGAGCCCTTGAGGATGATTTTTCCCTGCAGCTCTTGAGGCGAAGGGAGTCTCTCTCTATTCTCCTTCTCGCACAGGTTTCCTTTGGGTAGAACGTCACCCATCACACTCTGAGAGAGAGGGAGAGAGAGAGCGAGAGAGAGAGAGAGAGAGAGAGAGAGATTTAAGCTTTGTGTTGCTCTGTGTACATACATCATTGAACAGCGAGAATGAACGAAAGAGAGAGAGATAAGTGGTAAAGTGTTTCTCTGAGTATATAAATATTCGTCCAAGTGAGAGAAAAAGAAGTAAAGATCGAAAGGAAAGAGGGGATGCATGAGAGGCAAACCTGGAAGATTTTGGCCATCTTAGCCTGCTGGGCAGAGGAGCAGTGGTTTTCAATGGAGATGATGAGAGGGTAGAGAGAGGCCGTGAAGGCATACTCCTGTGTGTGTGTGTGTGTGTGTATAAATCATTCTATGATACACAGTGGAACCAGCTATTAACCCCCTCCACTGACCCTGATGGTCTGAATGACCTCTCTGAACGGTAGCTTGGTGGTGAGGGTGTAGCCGTGGTAGATAAGCGGCTCGCCCACTCCTGTCACGTTGAAACCTGCGAGGGAAGAAAAAGGAGCAAACCATAGACAGTACACATATACTGCTCTACGAGGGCTGATATAATTATAGGGTCAGTGGCTCACTGTCGTCCCAGCAGTCAATCTCGATGCAGCGACAGCCCTGGAGCAGGGCTCTGATGTAGGCATCTGTCGAAGACTTCCCGTACAGCTGGTCGGCCTCGAGGTACGTGTTGTGACTGAATGATGAAGTAGTGAGAGAGAGGCTGCGTCATGTCCTGCAAGAATAGCACAGAGAGGGTTAAAACATTAGCTTCTCTATAAAGGTTAGCACGTGTGTAGTTAGTCCATAGATCTCTATCCATGCCAGATACATTACTCCTCTATAAAGATTAGTGTGTGTGTTATTATAGAGATACTCTGTGTAATGTATGTACAGTACATATGTAGAGATTGCTGCAGCTTTTACCATGAAACCTGTCGTGTGCTCCAAAATGATCGGAGAGTTGTCTTTACTGCGAAGGAAGCTGAAGAGAGAAGATCATGTGACTATCATGTGACTGCAAGAGTGGGAGTCACGTGACGGTCACCTGAGGAACCCTGCGTAGGAGAGGAGGCTGGAACCGATCTGGTAGTCGAGGGGAATCCCCCGAGCCACGTATTTCTTGTAGGCCCTGTGGTGGTAGTCGTGGTGGGCAATGAGGGCCTGGAGCTCAGGGGGAGAGCAGTGGGACTCTGGCCACTGTGGAGAGATCGAGGATGGATGGGGAGTGCAGTATTATGGCAAAGAGAGAGGCACGTAAGAGGTAATGGACATTTGCCCTTTATAGAGAGGTTTTCCTCTTTTGGGAGGTTAAAATCAACTGGAATAGAATTATGTCTTTTTGAGAGGTTTTTCTAGTGTGTCGTGTATTCAAAGTGTCCTTGTTCAAAGATTCTACTACATTCTCACACTTTAGGACAGGCAGGCTAGCTACGTAGCTCACTCATACACTAACGTAAATACTGACCAGGCATTCTTTCCTGAGAAAGGTTCTAAACTCGTCCTCCGTCATTCCCAGATTTGGGTACTTGACTGCATACTGCTTGAACAGAGCACCCAACTGTGTGTTTTCAAGAGGAAGAGAAGAGAGGTTGAAAGAGAGTTATTAACGAACAGGGGCTTACCCTTCCGGTGTTACCCAACAAGATATTCAGCATGAGGACGAAGCCGTCCCAGCGCAGAGCGTTCCCGTGGAGGTAAGTGTGCCGAAACTGATAATGATGACTGTCCTGAATTGTACAATAGTATGCATTGACAGGTGTCACATCTCAGGATGGTCCGTCCTGTTTTGCTTACCCTGATTATCTGCCGACACTTGATCGGGATTGTTCCGGGTCGAAATATGGTCAGGATCTCCATGGCAGCCTTCTGCGGGAGCTCATGGTCGCACTCTGACACTGCCCATAACTGCTTCAGCCAGCTGAAGAGTATTACAATAGGGTGCCTGTTCTTATAGACGTTTCGTGAAGTAAAACATACACAATTGTTGGGTCTGTGCTTTCATAGTGTTCAGAGGGGAATATACTGCAGGAGAGGTGGTTAGTTGTCTCCCTCAGCTGTGGGGGAAGAGAGACAGAGGAGGGTGGGGAGGTGTAGGGGGGAAGAGAGACAGAGAGATGGAGGAGGGGTGGGGAGGAATAGGAAAGAGTAAAGAAAAAAAGAAGGCGGTCGGGAGTGGAGGTTAGGGTAGGAAAAGTACTAAAGTATAGGGCGTTGTTAGGGGACTTACTCCATGAATCCAGTCCTCACACTTCTCAGGACTGTCACAAATGAGGTCCAGGGAGCTCAGCCGGACATAACGCTTGGTCACCTGAGCATCATGTGACTAGCACATGACATCACATTCCCAATCATGTGACCTCACCTGCTCAAAGATGAGGGAGAATGACTGTTCCTCGACTTCTTCGTACGGAAACTGGTCGAATTTCTCGGTCAACTGCCCCTTCCTCACCTCCAGTACTTTGCTAAGGCTCACTACACATGCGTTGGCACACCAAGTGAATGGAGGACGATACTATATAGACTGTTAGACAGAGAGATTTAAACTCACAGTAGCTTCTAAGCTTATGTCTAGTGGTGGCCGATTTTCTCTTGAAAAAGTCTCTCTCATGATGTTTCCAGACCACCACCTACATACGCATGAAGACACAAGTATGTACATAATAATGTTCCCTCTCTCTCTCTGACGAGCTAAGGCAATATGTAGGTTTGTAGCTGTTAAGAGTACTTCTCTCATGCATCAAAGTTGCACAGTGTATCGTGCTCTTATGTTACGCCAAGGTACTGCAGGCTAGTGGGAGACGGACCAAGTTGTCTTTGTCGAGGCTGACAACTTTCTCGGCCGGTATGGACCACCGGGAGCGAGGGTACTTGATCATGGCGTGCTCCACATGGAGCTTGGAAGAGAGAGAGTCTGCAGCTGATGAAGAAGGGCGGGGAGAAGTATAAGAGTGAAAGAGGGGCACTCTGTTTGCTCCAGTAACTCACTGTGAGGCTGCTGTTTCTGCAGCTGAGGCCCTCTAGGTCCCTGCCAACAGAAAAAGATAATTACACAGCTGGCGCAACGCTTTCTCACGAAAATTTTGTACTACGCACAGAACTGCACGCGTAATTCCCCAAAGGAGTTCAAGGAAATATTACTAAAGATAGAACTAAGCAATATGGCCCACGAGAATGCAATATGTAGGTTTTCAGTTTTTAGTATGATATGCTGCCACATTCCTTAATGATGCAGCACTCACAGCATTGTTTCTGAAGAGACCTCGTATCTTGCGCTGTCGTCTCTTGTCGTACGTGGGGAACTCGCTCTCTGTGCTCTCTCGGCGGAGGAACCCTGTGTGGGTGTTGCTGCGAGGTCGCTCTAACGGAGCGGAGTTGGGGGAGGGGCCGGAGGGAGGGGGTGGAGGGGGGAGGAGGCGGAGATCCGATGTGTTCAGTGGTGGGAGATTGGGGACCTTGGGATGGGTGCCTGGGGGAGAGTGTGTATCATAAGAGAACCTATATGAGCGCTGTTAAAGGGTATTTAAACTGTAATTCCCAGTAATATATACAACAAAGTGAATTCAGTGGAACCTTGTTACTATATACATTGTATGAGAAACCACTTTGGAGAAATTTTCGGACATTATAGTACTCGCGAAGTATTTGGCACATACCCAGCTGAGAGAGTTTCATCGACCTCGGCAATGGGGTGGAGAGTGGGGGGAGGGGTCGCCGGTACAGCCATGCCCATCACTTCAACCTCGCAAGGTGTTGGCAGCTGCCACTCTTTCCATGCTATAATTAAGGCACCACATAATTATATAGAGTTATGATTCCGTCTTCCGTTTCTGATCATTTCCGCCCATTCCCCGGCATCACTTTCACTATCAGATCTGGAAGGAAATCAACCTCAGCATAATCATAATGACACACACACACACTACAACAGTGAAGTATACAACTACATAATTATATTACGAAGTACTAAACGTTGTTGTCAAACCTTAGAGTCATGACGTAAGAGGCAAAGTAGAGCTTCATTTCCTGCTTATCTCCATCGACTGGATACTCCATCTCCTCCAGACTAGTGAGAGGGTAGTTACGTCGAATCTTCACCTGGTGACACAAACGAAAACAATGAATAGTGCATCATAAACTCGACGTACTACAGTTTACAGCAGATCCTTATGCCATACTTGTACAATAATTCTCTCCTCGTGCGTGTGGTACGTATATACTTACGTGGCTGAAATGTTGAAAGTACTCCAGAGCTTCGGGAGTGAGTCTGAATCTCCTCTGTCTGGTTGGGCCTGGTTCGGAATTGGGCCGACGCGATTGTGATGTCTTGTGTAGTGAGCCAATCTTCAAAACCTTCACATGATAATATGTAAACGAGGCAAGGCAGAGTAAACAATCCTGCTAGGGCAACTCTTTGAAAAAACGAGCTGCCCGGGGTGGGATTCGAACCCACGACACTCTACAGTCTAGGGAGAGCACTCCACCCACTGAGCTACAAGAGTCGCAAACACTGCATTATTTTACCTGCAACTCTCCAAACTCGATACAGTTTCACACGCACGAAGACGTGTGGGTATTGGTATAAATATGCATACCATCTACAGGTTAGCCAAACTGACGTGTGATTGTTATTGTGGTTAAAGTCACACCAGACAGCACACAAATAAAAACCATACATGGGACGGTAAGTGGGTTAACAATTAACTTATTCCATTTACGGTGGGGGCATATCCCCCCCCCCCCCCTAAGATAACTTGTGTACGGCGGTGTAAACATGTACTCATTTATCAGAAATTATCTGTTCTGTTTACTGTTTCAATTCTCTCACTATCTGAACTAACTGATAAATCAGTCATTTGCAATCATGCACACAATTGTTCACACAAATGTTCACGTGTGACTGGTCATATTATGTGGTATGGTAAGCCCACCCAACTAGGAAGACATTCCAAACATGCCAAAAAGCCCCATTGGAAGCTGTGCAAGATAGGTTGCTTTGTGGAAGACACAACCCCGTTCCCCGGGATACCTAGCATGAGGCAACCTGAGAATGCAAACATTGCCACAGAAGTTGAAGCGCCATACAACGTCAGTCTTTCCGCTTGGATCAAGTAACATAACCATTTGGTTTCACGGGGCTGATTCCACTGTATGATTCTCTCTTTCTTTTATGTAGCTGTTGTATTACTGAAGCACACGTTATACATACAATACTAGTTGTATTACTGAAGTGCACACACATGAAGCAGACCTTTGCATCTTCTCTCTCGGGGTAGTCTGACGTCTCCTCCCCAGTGTGTGGTGAGGGGATGTATTCGGCGCTGGAGGAGGGGGAGGTGTGAGAGGTGTTGGAGAACATGCGTGGGCGGCGGCTGGTCAGGAGCTCCTTCAGAACCTGAGGTATCCCCCGTGGAGTCTCTGAAAATGAGGAGAGAGTTTCTAATTAGCTATATTGGCTGCTGTGGTTGCAACTTGAGGCTAACAAAACAAGGCTAGCAGCGGTCAAAAGCTGCTGCACAAACTGCAAACATACATGGCTGGCTACATTGCTACATGCATCAGCTAAGCTAGAGGTGTATATTTTGCTTAGCCTCAGATATTACGTAGGTCCAGTAAGCAGTACTTCCTAGCCAGTTCGTAATCTACAAAGTGTAATCTACAAAGTTAGCTAGCTGCTTACCACCGCGTGGGTTCGAGGACCTTCTGCGGCCCTTTCCGGAGACATTCAGGACCGTGGGCCTCCCTACGACAGCTGTGTCTCCCTTTACATTCACCTCTATCTCGATGACCGGGCCAGCCTCTGCCATTATTGCTGCTACACTACGATCCAGCTAGCTGCAGCCAGCACACCCCTCCCAAACTCTTGCAGTAAAAATCTGCTCACTTCCGGTTTTCCATATCCGGATTATTGCCCTCTCGCGCCCCCTTTTATTAAATTACGTCATCGTTTCGTCGTCCAGCGGCGCCCGCGGTTACCCAGGTAGCTGGCCGGCCAAAGAAATCCTGTGGCAGTCTTGCAGCAGCTTCATGGATCTCTTCTCTTGCGTGAGATAACTGGCCGTATAAAGAAGAGATCAACTCGTGAGACACAACTCGCAAAAGCCCCAAGCACTATGTGGAGAGCTCTGAGCAAAGTAAGTCCCTCTCAGGGGCAGAATGTGCTACTCTTATGCTTTGTGTTTCTTTCTGTCCAGACTGGAGGACCGGTGAGGTCTATCCTGGCTCACAGATGGCTGTCCTCGACAACCATAATCCCACAGAAGGTATAAACGAACATTCTCCCTAGAGGCACCCCCATCAAACTCAATGTGAAACAGCTCAGTTTACTGTATCATTAAATGTGTATTATAATGTAGCATGGTGTGTGCTTTTTCAAGGCACTGTTCACAAACACTCGTGCTCTGTCTTTCCCAGGTGGTCATGAGTAAGTTCGATACAGACAAGTACATTCCCTATGAAAAGATGTCGGAGAACCTGAAGATTGTTCGAGACAGGTCTTGAACATCACACACTCTGTTTCTAATTCAACATGACACTAATCCCTCTTAGGCTCCAGAGACCCTTGACCTTGTCTGAGAAGGTGGTTTACAGTCACCTGGACGACCCAAAGAACCAGGAGATGGAGAGGGGAGAGTCCTACCTTCTTCTCAGACCCGACAGAGTGGCCATGCAGGATGCCACTGCACAGGTCACCACCACCTCTCTCATTCTCCATCTATTGAGTAGATGCACGTGTGTATGTACACAGCATATTATGGTGTAATTGAGTTTTCAGCATCTACCGTATAGTTGGAAACATATGAGGAGAACCTTTCACCATGAGCATTTTCTCCATTAATTACTAGTTTTTCCGCAGAATCACAAAGGTCCTGCCCTTGAAAGTTTTCTGCATGGTTTGACTCACATGCGAGTCTCCTTGCTTCTGAATAGAGTCCCACATGCTTGCTCAGAATTTCCACTAGTATATATGTATATAGTATACTGTTAGTGTCTTGGCTAGCATGTCCCCCTCCCTCTACACTCCCACAGATGGCCATGATGCAGTTTATCAGCAGTGGACTCCCAAAGGTAACAACACTAGGACCAACTCTCACGTTTTGTGAAACGTATGAAACTTAGAGAATAGTTCTTGCACGTCACACTCGCCGGCTGACCATGTCTTGGAAAATTTCGCAAACGGTTGCTTTACGTGGTTCGCAAGTTATACTGTTACAGAGAGGGAGTGAGGGTATTATTGTGTCACTATAGGTGAGGGTGCCATCCACCATCCATTGTGACCACCTGATTGAGGCTCAGGTCGGAGCCTCTGCTGACCTCAGCAGAGCTATTGTAAGCATCAATAGACGCATTATGTTACACATTGTGATTACCGCACTATTCTGTAGGACACCAATCGAGAGGTGTATGACTTTCTAGCCTCCGCTGCCTCAAAGTACGGAGTTGGTTTCTGGAAGCCTGGAGGCGGCATCATCCATCAGGTCAGGGAGTACTTAATCTATGACATCATCATTACACATTCATGTTTTGAACATGATGGTTTATTTTCAGATCGTTCTTGAAAACTATGCGTTTCCTGGACTCTTACTGACAGGAACAGATAGCCACACTCCCAACGGAGGTATATACAGTTTACCTACACACCTTATATATATAGTACATTTAGAGAGTAATACATTAACATTTCCTCCACAAACATGTACGGTGGAACAAACCAGTATGTTTTCTTCGTAAATCTCATTACAATCGTGTGTGTCCCCTTTTCTTCTTTAACTGTCAGGAGGGCTGGGTGGTGTGTGTATTGGTGTGGGTGGAGCTGATGCAGTGGATGTGATGGCTGGCCTCCCCTGGGAACTAAAATGCCCCCATGTAATCCCTTACCCCTGCAATCAACTAGCGACATCATCGACTGTGTGTGTACATTATGCAGGTGATAGGTGTTCGTCTGACAGGGGAAATGGGAGGGTGGACTGCTGCAAAAGACGTCATTCTGAAGGTGGCAGACATACTGACGGTGGCTGGGGGGACTGGAGCCATCATAGAGTACCACGGACCTGGGGTTGACTCCATCTCATGTACTGGTCAGTCACCTATGTACAGTTACAGTGGAAATTCTCGCTCCAGTATCAGGGATCACAGTTTGATAATGTATATACTTGACTTATGCAGGGATGGCCACCATATGTAACATGGGGGCAGAGATTGGTGCCACCACTTCAATATTTCCCTTCAACCACCGCATGTCTCGCTACCTCAGAGCCACCGGGAGAGAAGGTAGTGAATATCACACAAACCCCTATCATTACACCATTATCACACTCACACATTACAGATATTGCAAAGGAGGCGGAGCGATATCCTGACCTCCTGACCCCGGACGAGGGCTGTACATACGACAGGGTGGTGGAGATAGATCTGAGTACCCTGGAGCCACTGGTGAACGGTCCCTACACCCCTGACCTTGCCAACCCCATCTCACAACTGGGGAAGAACGCCCAGGAGAACGGTTGGCCTCTCGACATCAAAGTCGGTCAGTTTCAAGTTAATGTGTACTTAATGTACTTTGGATTGTGTCTCTCCCAAATATAGTGGGAAACTGAATTTCGTAGTTTTTGTGAACCATCCGTGTGAAAGTTTGTATTGGACTACAAGCATACACTATAGTTTTATCTGTGAAATTGTAGTTTGGTACTGTTTTTGCTTAAATTTTTTTCCCCCTGCATTTGATTTCATCTTCTCTCTTTGTGTGTTCCATGTGTGTGTGTAGCTCTGATTGGCAGCTGTACTAACAGCTCCTATGAGGACATGACTCGTGCTGCCAGCATCGCTCAACAGGCTCTGCAGCACGGCATCAAGACCAAGTCAGTAACTACTTTACCACAAGAGCAGTGTGGAGTTATTGTGCTCTTTGTTCTGTGCTGCAGGAGTGCCTTCACAGTGACCCCCGGCTCAGAGCAGATCAGAGCCACCATCTCAAGAGACAAAGTGGTAAGAACAACCCTACTGTAAAGTTTCAAGGCTCATAGATCATTAGTTGAAAAGGTTTGTGAGATATACATACAGCAATTTTGGTTACGCACACCTACCATACTGTAGTGGGTTTTTGCACAGCATACTTCGTGATTTACTTGTAAATTGTGCACCGTGAGAATTTGGTACTATAATGTATTGCCACTCATGTATGTATCTATGTGTATACAAACACCAATCCATTATTAGTGTGAGAATTCAGTATGCTCACACACACGCACACACACAGGATGAGACACTGGAGGCGGTGGGAGGACTGGTCCTGGCCAATGCCTGCGGTCCCTGCATCGGGCAGTGGGACAGAAGAGACGTTGACAAGGGAGAGAAGAACACCATCGTCTCCAGCTACAACAGAAATTTCACCGGCAGGAACGACGCCAACCCTGCCACCCACTCCTTCGTCGCTTCACCAGAGGTAATGCAACTTCTCAGCAAAAAAACGTAAACTTCACAATTTTAAGATTTCAGAGCATCAAAATTGCATACTGTTTACAGCTCTTTTTACAAAAAATGACCTGCTATATGAATTAACATGCATTAAAATAGTGAACCTCAGCTAACAGTTTGCATGTGTTTCTGTCAGATTGTGACGGCTCTTGCGCTGGCCGGAGACCTGAGGTTCAATCCTCTGACTGACTCTCTGACCGGAGCCAGTGGAGAGGAGTTCAGACTGGAGCCACCAACTGGAGAGGAGCTACCCAGCAAGGTGAGGGAGTCCTATGACCACTGTACATTGTACAGCTACTGTTCTCTTGTAATCCCAGGGGTTTGATGCAGGGGAGGAGTGCTACCAGGAACCTCCAGCTAAGGGCAGCTCGTCCTCCGTCGATGTTGACCCCAACAGGTACATCTTATACTAGAAGCAATGCATTGTTGGCGAGTGAATGTGAATGGGACATTTCAGTCGAATCACATAAAGCATTATGGTATGGACAGTTGCTTGCCCAAGTATACACCTTCACATGCTGCAGTACCGCAAAAAGAACCTGATGTAGTGTGTGCAAGGTTCCATGGATTATTTATTACACACCATTTTGTTCTGCAGCAATCGTCTGCAGCTGCTGACTCCATTTGACAAATGGGATGGGAATGATATTGAGGATGCCCCTGTCCTGATTAAGGTCTACCTGAAATGCACCACGGACCACATCAGCTCAGCTGGACCTTGGCTCAAATACCGCGGACACCTCGACAACATCTCCAACAATATGTTCATCACGTACGTCAACACCACTGCAACCAATGGCAACTTATAGTGTCCTCTTATAACTAACTACATACAAAGTCACACTGTCAGCTCATACTCATATATACATGTACTAGGACGTCAGTGGAGTTATACCTAACACACAGGGCAATCAATGAGGAGAATAAGGAGATGAACAGTGTGAAGAACCAACTCACGGGAGAGTATGGACCTGTGCCTGACACTGCCAGATACTACAAGGTCAGACAGCTCCTACAATCCTATTATAAGACATACAGAATCCTCTTATGTATATACTCTACTGTGCTACATACGAGAACGGAGTCACAGAACACAGCCTTAAGTACTTCTTGTTGAACAAGTATACCCTCTCGTGATGTATTGTGTCCAACAGGCTCAGGGAGTAAAGTGGGTGGTGGTGGGAGACTCCAACTATGGAGAGGGGAGCAGTCGAGAACACGCTGCCCTTGAACCTCGTCACCTCGGGGGCGTGGCAATCATCGTCAGGAGCTTTGCTCGCATCCACGGTAGCTACACCACAACCAATTATTGTCGCTCGATCGTCTATCGTTTGAAATTCTGCTCGTTTCTCTCCAGAGACGAATCTGAAGAAGCAGGGGATGCTGCCGCTCACGTTTGCCGACCCAGCAGACTATGACAAGTTCCAGCCGTCTGACAGAGTATCTCTGCTGGGACTAGCCAACCTCAGCCCTGGACAGGTGAACTAACCAAGACTACCTTCTGTATATAGCCACCACTGAAATCAGGACATCTCTCTCAGATCTTTTCCCAGCAACAGTCCTTGCATGAAGATACCTCGTTATATGGACACTTTAACTGATATATTATATCCAGATTAGAAGGGTTTCACTCTATGCACTGTAATCAGTGAGTGTATGGTGTCTGTGAGTATTTCCTGGTCACTTGCAGCCAGTTCGCTGTGTTCTGAAGCACTCTGATGGCTCATCTGAGGAGATTCAGCTCAACCACACCATGAATGAGACGCAGATCTCCTGGTTCCAGGCCGGCAGTGCCCTCAACAAGATGGCTGACATGTTTAGATAGTCGTTCTAGTTTAGGCAGCGATGTTACCGTATATGGTGACAGTGCGCATGCGCCCAGCATCTTTCTCGCCGAGCGAAGGGGGGGGGCCGTTTTCTACGTGATAAGTGGGTCAGGTCTGGTGCGTGCGCATGTCTATTACACGTGTAAATTTCGCTCGGTTTTATAAGGCTGCGCTGTGCAGGCACACACGCAGAGATTCGTATACAGCGTCAAGACACGGCTCAATAACTTACCATGGAAGTATTTTACCCGAATGAATTTACAACTGAACGTCCACAAGGAATTGGAGGCGAATGGAGAGAGTTTTATGATGGAGAGCAACAGCAAAATGTTAAAGATATCCGTGTTCCAATTCTACAGTTGGCACACATAACCCATAATGCTGAAGCTGATCAAATAACCACTGGCCTCTCGTTTCAATTTAGAGTAGCACCAAAATATGGAAGACCTGGCATGGGTTCTCGTATGTGGAATCCAGACATAAATGGTTTTGTTCCCATAGATCAAAAAACCAATTTATTTCCAGGGAATTACTCATGGTGGAGCCCATATGCTCACAATTACCATCTCCCACACGATCACCCAAATAGTGAAGATTGCATATCTCCAGCTCAAATTGCAGGGGTTCTTCCACAACATTATTATGTTGCCAATTACCTTAAACATCCTCCCGAGTCAATCTATGGGAATCGTGTTTTCCATGCTGATTTTTCAGATCTTCATGATGCCTATGTTGAATCACGAAATGAGCGCGGGGAGTTTTATCAAAATTGGGGGCACCTTGAGATACACAGGCGAAATTTGCTTTGTGCTTATTGTTTGTACTGAAAATGATGAATTGGATTTCCCTGCACTTGGCACAAACAATGAATATTTTGAAACAAATGGTCTTATCAATGATGATGGAAGGGTTATCGATCGCAATGCAATAGCTAATTTTCATCCACGGCATATCATTCAATGGGCCAGGCCCAGAGAACATGGGGAAACACCATATTACAGCTACATAACACCTGCTTTTGCATTTTACTATCCCGATGAAGATGGAATGTTGGTGTTGGAAGGTGCAAAGTGTCATGATGAAGTCAGAGTTGAACACACTGAAGCATTTTGCTTAAAGAAGGTGTATGGAAATTGTCCCAATAACTCCCCCCGAAGTGATTCTGATAGCAATAACTCCTCCCAAAGTGATTCTGATAGCTAGATTATTACTATAGAAGCCATGCATGTACAGTAATAAGACCACATATTATAGTGAGTAGAGAACACCCTCTCAATTTATATACTGTATATACAAGCTTTGTGAAAAAAATCCTAATATTTATTATGCCAATGCTGTGGACCTGCTCACTCATCTTCAGGGATACCTAACATAATCAGGAGTTAATTGAGGTGGGTGTTCCCCCCTGGACTAGAAGAGAACAACACACAGACAGGGGTTTGTATGGCCTCCGTACACATTTGCCCCTGATCCCCCCAATCAATTGCTGAATGATAGTATTAGGAGCCACCATAAAAACTCAGTGCAGTAGTGTCCAGACATGAGTGAGGCAATCACTAGACGATATGAGAGATGAACCAGAGACTGAGAATACTAGGGAACTGACAGAGTCACTGTGACCACTGAAATCCTGGAATGAACCTTCCGAATAGTCCATCAGCTTCAGAATCCTCTCTGGGGAGAGGGGAGAAGGAGCAGATTAAATATTATACACATCAGTTGGTTACCCTCATAGGCAATGTCAGGGAGACGTTTTATCAGGTTTTTTCGCTTCAGAGTAGTCGTGCAAACCAGACTATAAGACAAAGCAAAGGCACTAGACCAACAGAGGTAGCAGCATTTTGTTGTCTTATACACGGAGATTGTGCTGTGGGTTAGCTACTATCCCAATGTCCATAAGCTCCGTACAGATTACACAAGCCTGAAATGCACCATTCAGTTACCAGAGCAGCCAATAGCAATGAGGTGTCCCAGGGGAGAGACGTCCATGCAGGTGGCCCAGTGGGTGATGGCGTATTTCCTGAGCACAGTCTTCTGAGACAGGCTGTAGAACTGGAGACACCTCTCCAGACCATAGCCAGTGTACAGGAGGGTGTCAGGGTCACTGGGGCTGAATCTGACCAGACTGGGCGGCAGCAGCTCATACATACTCTGCATCAGACATAGTTTACATAGGTTACTGTTGAGTGGGCAAAATCGGGATCATTTTTATGAAGCATTCTGCTATAAATTGGTGAGCCTATGAATACGTTTGCTTTACTCTGCCAGATGTAAGCTATGTATAGGAAAGTTCCCCTAACTTTGTCTCCTTTCCTGAGTCTGGAGCCATTGGGGCAGTGGGAGGTCCAGGGAAGAGAGCCAGTCCAGGAGATGGCAGACATCCTGGCTCCAGTCAGAGCTCCACACACTCACTCTCCTGTCTCCACTGGCACACGCCCACAGCCACAGACCCTCTCTACCTACTGACGATAGCTGGAGGACAGATACAGAATGGACCTTATGGACACTGCATCAAGTGTACAGAAAACACATGTTGGGGTTTCAGGGCTTCCACTTCTACCTGGTGTATATATATAGCTGCAACCAGGCCTTCCCCTTCCCCACTACATAAGCTGCACATGCAATGTCTTTACATAATAGTGCCTAAGGTCAGTGGAACAAGGGCATTACAATCCCTCTCTGACCTGTACAGGCTTGCCAGCCACAGTTAAGTCGGTGACAGGAGCTCCTCTGTGATCCTGGATCACCTTCACCACTAGTCCACTGGTCACACTGCTAGCTGCCACCACTCCCTCCCCACTCCCTGTCAGTAACACCCTCCCTACAGCACACACACATTAGTACACATAGAGGTAAACACGTATGTAGGTCCTCAAACATGCTGGGAATAGTCCTTAAGGTCAATACCAGATCTTTCGATTATAGTACTTCAGAAATTATTTGGGGAAATTTCTTCAGTAGAAGAAACTGGTTGCTGAAGTGTAGCTGGTCCATTAGGTGTGGTGTTTGGTAAGTACAGGCATCAGTGGATCTCTCCCACTACTCCAGAAAACATTTGGGGGCGAATTTGTCTTCGTTGTAAAAACCACATACTACTAACAGAACGGAAGTGCGGCTGGTACGTGAGCCCTGACTTGCTTGATAAGTGCATTGGTAAAGTGTGTGGTACTTGTGCATGTGACCTCATTTGTACAGAGTGTACATGCATAAACACCATAACACACACAACTTAGGCCAGGAATATACTTTTCTATGCCATGGACACAGTGTATGTATAATTACATCATAGGCAAGTGACATACACCAAACAGAACATGTATGAAAATAAACTAATTTGACACTCTAACGCACAGATCTGTTCTCTACATTGCCAATACATACAATCAGCATAGAAGGTCAATCTTTGGGTGACTACTGTATATCCATGAGGCGCCATCGTCCTCCGGACCAGGCCCCAGGGCCCCTGGAAGATCCTCACACTTCCGTCACCGTAGCCCACTGCCAGATGGAGAGACGACTCGTGGGGCTGCCCCTTCTCGTTAGTGACGGGCCGAGGCACGGTCACTGGGGCTGAATCTGACCAGATGGGCGGCAGCACTCATCAATACTTGTATCAGACATATTTACATAGGTTACTGTTGAGTGGGCATAAATGGGTATTTTTTACAACTTTTTTTTCAATAAATTCTTCTGCTATATTGGTGAGCCTAGTATATTATGTTTTGCTTACTGGCCCTGGAATGTTAAGTATAGCATATGTAAGCTATATGAAAGACCCCTAACTTTTTTCCTTCCTCCTGAGTCTGGGAGCGGCATTGGGCGCGTGGGAGGTCCGGGGAGGAGAGCCAGTCCAGAGATGCAGACATCCTGAGTCCATTCAGAGCTCCCACCTACTCACTCTCCTGTCTCCACTGCACACGCCCCAAGCATAGACCCGCTCTAACCTACAGACGATAGCTGGAGGAGACGATGTGAACCTTATACACACTGCATCAAGTTATATACAAAAACACATGTTTGGGTTTCGGGCTTCCACTTCTACCTGGTGTATATATATATCTGCAACCAGGCTTCCCCTTCCTCCACTACATAAGCTGCACATGTCAATGCCTACATAATATTGCGTAAGGTCAGTGGACAGGGCATTAAATCCCTCTCTACCTGTATAGGCTTGCCAGCCAACAGTTAAGAGTGGTGACGAGCTCTCGTGATCCTGGATCACCTTTCACCACTAGTCCCACTGGTCACACTGCTAGCTGCCACCCTTCCCGCCCCACCTCCCCCGTCATTAACCCTCCCTACAGCACACACACATTAGGACACATAAGGTTAAACATGTAGGTCCTCAAAAGCTGTTATAGTCGGTTCAATACCAATCTTTCGATATATTGCTTCAGGGGAAATTTCTTCAGTAGAGAAAACTGGTTGCTGAAGTGTAGCTGTTGTGTTTTGCTAAGTACAGGTCTCAGTGGATTCTCTCCACTACTCCAGAAAACCTTTGGGGCGAATTTGTCTTCGTCGTTGTAAAACCACATACGACTATAGAAAACGGAAGTGCGGCCA